ATTCCTTTCAACTGGCACAGCTAAGGTGAAACACAAGTTCAACTGTATGGTGTATATGTTTAGTTTAAGACTGGCGGTACATGTAACAAAAAACGTCAGGATTAGTCTGATGTGAGTATAAATCCAGTAATTGTAATCCATTACAGTCCCTGTTTATCCAGCAGAAAGATGGAAAGTCAGAGTTACACCATTCACATTTGTCCTGACATCACATTTCTGCGCGATGACCTCACCAGTATACCTCCTGTGCATAACCCTTAGTCATTTACACTCCCACACTCTGTCCTTTTCATTTCTTCCTCACACTCACTCTTCTTTTATCTCCACTCTTTCTTCTCAATCTCTCTGCTTCTCTGTGAGATCCAGAACTTTCTCCTGCTTTCTTATTCACTCTGTTCTCACTGAATCTCCACAATTTCTATTGAGAGAAAAGAGCTCCTTCATCAGCCACTGACTTCAAAAGTCATAAGTAGGCAATTCCCGCATCTAAATCTATTCTGTGGACATCCTATTGGCCACTGGCACTCATTCAATTAATAAATCAGCCAGTTAATAAATCACTGAACTATACACACAAACACACACACACACACACACACACACATTAGAGAAACCCAGCAGGCATAAGCATAAATCCACATGCAGATACAGTCAAGGACAAACACCCACAAACATACACACCAACACTAAGAGCAGACGCTGCATCACCTCACCGGGATGGACACACAGTCCCTGGTCTGTCTCAGCCTGAATAATAATAACCCAAGCGGGGAGGAGAGAAGGAGAGGGTGCATGTGCGTGGGGAAGAGAGAGCTTGATTTGTGAATCAGCGTCTCCTCGCTTGCAGCTGACTCTCAGCTGCTACAGACCGTGTTAGCCTCAGATTTCAACATTCTCCTCTCCCTCCCTCCCTCTCTCCTTTTTTGACTCCTTCCTTCCTTGTCTCCTTACCATTTCACCATCCCTCCATCTTTCTTCTCCTCCAACCGTCTCACTGCCACTCTTTCTCTCTCCTCTACTCCTTTGTCTCCCTCTCTCTCTTTCTCCTCCCTGCACTACCACCTCCCACTTCCTCCTCTGGCTCTCAGAATATCCTGCAGCATCACAGTCTAGCAGAGGTGTGTGCACTGTAAATGTTTTAGTGCAAGTGTGTGTGTGTGAATGCAAAATGATAAATAAAAGTTCAGAAATGTTTGTGGACACGCAGTAATGATGTATATGGGCTGAGATCTCGGTGCACCTGATGCTCGCGTGCAGCCATGAATGGAGCTGCTTGTCTGAGTGTGTGAGATATCCTTAGTACCTAAAGGATGAGCAGGTCTCCACAGAGGGGCAGTTAAACAGAGCAGCTGTTCATCTACAAACTGTGAGGCTGCAGCACAT